TAGTCCATTGAAAAGTTACATTTGGGGTTGCAAAAGTCAGAGCACGCAATTTTATTTTTTGGATGTCAAGAGGGGGTTAGTGTAAAGTTAAATCCATGTTTGTGGGGTCGCAACCCTTGAGCGTCGGCCGCCATCTTGTAAAAAGGGCTGCGAATGGTTTTTATACTACTACTTACTATATCGGGCAAACTATTCCTCGCACAGAAAATTTGTAAACACATTTCTTGTTGCAAATTAAATTCTCTACAAATTTGGTCCTGTAACTTTTAGTCGTAGAACCAAAAATAACAAAGTTATTAACGAAAATAGATAGAAATTTGGGAAGAAATTTTGTTTTGGTCGTTATAACTTTTTTTTTGGTCATTTTACAAAAAAATTACATCAGAGCATTTTGATAGAGGGGTTTTTTCATGTTTCCATTACAAACTTTTTTCAAATTTTATTTATTCATTAGGATTTTACAGCGAAGCGAAACTATGAATATGAATGATTAGGCATAGGAGGCGTCCTTCAAAGTTTTCTTCCAGTTGTGCTACCACGTGCGTGCGTGACATATTTAATTGTGAAAAGTATTTTGAGTTTTGTGGACAGTATTTTGAACTTTGTGGACAAGATTTTGAGTTTTGTGAGAGCTATTTTGAATTTTGTGTTAAGCATTTTGACTTTTTTAAGCGTTCATATAGTGTGATTCCATCATGAGTGATTGTTTTATTTGTAAAAAAACCTTTATGGGAAAGTAAAATCAGAACTGTGAAGGCGAAAGGAGTGAAAACCTTACTTGATCGAGCAATAACAAAAAATGATGAGGATAATGAACAATTTTTACGAAATGTTTCGGAAGTCACTGTACATATACCATGTTACCATTATTATAGCGACAGTCGAACGGATAATGTCGATCATCGTTTCAGCAGCAGCAGTTTATCATCTTCAGTTTCAGAAGATCCAGAGACAAGTTTTGATTTTGTGAACAATTGCTTCATTTGCACGGAAGCGTTTCAGGATCAGAGTAAGCGGCAGCAAAGACGACAACGGCGGGTTTGTAATATATATAATGACGGTAATAAAAATAGTATTATGGACCTCATAAACAAACGTACCGACGATGTTGCAACAGGCATTACTAATCGTATAGCTGATGTTCCCAGCTTAGTAGATATCGACATTCTTGTCTTGCTCACGGCATTTGGAAGAACACATTCAAATATATATTTTTTTAAACCATCGAAAAGACGTACAGCCGAACAATTATATTGTCCGTCAAGTTTTATGTACGGAGAAGTCATTGCGGATAATCTGTTGTTTCTCCATGCCTTCTCAGGATGTGACACAACTTCAGCAGCTTACAACATCGGTAAAATGAAATTTCTCGCAACCCTGGAGACACGTCCTGAGTTAGCTAGTGGAACAGCGTTATTCCTCAATGAGAGAGTCGACCCTACTTTGCTCACTGCCGTTGGCGAACGTTTTTTCATCTCTTTATATGGTGGCAATAAAGATGATGATTCTCTGGACAGTCTTAGATATAAACGATTCGCCAAGTCAGTGACAAAGAATACATTTAATTTGTCTTCACTTCCTCCAACACAAGACACAGCCCGCTTGCACAGCCTCCGAGTCTATCATCAGGTCCAGTCGTGGCTCGGGAATTACAACGACCCTCAAGACTGGGGCTGGAAAAAGTATGGACAAATATTGATGCCTGTTCAAAGTTCAAAACCTCCAGCACCCCCTGAGCTTCTAAAGTTGATATTCTGCCGATGCAAAGGAAACTGTGGAGCAATGTGTGGATGTCGGAAGGCAGGCCTCAAATGTTCTACAGTGTGCCTGAATTGTTCTGGGGAGACATGCAGCAACATAATGGAGATATCAAAATTGATCGAGGAGAATGATTTTGAAGATGAACTGCCAACAATGACGCCACTTCATTCTCCATCCTTCCTCAACAATTCAATATCGGAAGCTCAACCAGATCCTGAGTCGCAGCCTGGCCCATCAAAGAGACTGAGGACACAGTAGATTGGGAAATATATTTCGATATTTTTAATTACACTAATTATTATGTCAGCTAGAAAATGTCCGTGGATTCTGCCTACTAGGGATACGACGTAAAAAAAACGCGCCACCAGACTCTACCTCGTAGGGGGTGGGGAAAAGAGTCAATAACTAATTAACAACATTGCAATGTCAATCATTAAAATGTTTCTTATAAAAATAATGGAAAGATGAGAGAAAACTATGCCTAATCATTCATATTAATGTATACTTACTAGTACTGGAGAATAGTGTAAGTTTCGCATCGCTGTAAAACCCTAATAAATAAATAAAATTTGAAAAAAGTTTGTAATGGAAATTATTCCTTGAAAACCCCTCTATCAAAATGCTCTGATGTAATTTTTTTGTAAAATGACCAGAAAAAAAGTTATAACGACCAAAACAAAATTTCTTCCCAAATTTTTATCTATTTTCGTTAATAACTTTGTTATTTTTGGTTCTACGACTAAAAGTTACGGAACCAAATTTGTAGAGAATTTAATTTGCAACAAGAAATGTGTTTACAAATTTTCTGTGCGAGGAATAGTTTGCCCGATATAGTAAGTAGTAGTATAAAAACCATTCGCAGCCCTTTTTACAAGATGGCGGCCGACGCTCAAGGGTTGCGACCCCACAAACATGGATTTAACTTTACACTAACCCCCTCTTGACATCCAAAAAATAAAATTGCGTGCTCTGACTTTTGCACGCTAAGCCCAAAAAAATGCAACATTTCAATGGACTATAATTATTTTCAGAGAGTTTAAAACCGCAAAAGACATTATTAGTCCGGGTGAATTAGGTTTTTTTTCAAAAATCGGGCCTAACTCAAATTTTATGGGCTTAAAATTAAGTAAAAAATATACAGAATAAAAGCATAAATTTGTGTATTTGTAGGGGTCGAGCGTCATATTGTATATAACAAAAGAAACAAATAGTAATTGCTCTTTTTTTAGTTTTTCGCTTATATCTCCGAAAATAAGCCTCTAATCAACATGAGATATACTTATCGATTTTATTCCTGAGGAAATTTGCTACAACAGTGGGCTTTTGCCAAAACTCGCAAAATTTTTTTTACATTGCAAAATTAGAGGTGAAGAATATGCAAAATTTTCAGCATTAAATAAAAAGAACAAATTTGACTGAAAATGGATGAAACTACAGGAAAAGATAACTGTTGGGGTGCTCAACAAATATCCGCAATCCGGACCCCCAATTTCAAAATGGCGTCCTACTGCAAAATTATAATGTAGAAAATGAGAGCACGTATATCTTCTGCCCAAGTCAAGATACCGAAATTCGGTAAAAAACAAATTTCAAATTTTTAAGTTGCAAAATTAAAAAGTTATTAACAAAAAACCAAAAAAAAAAAACAATAACTTGGGTCCTTATTTCGGCGGTTTTTTAATATCCAGATTTCAAACAACTACATCAAATAGTGCTTAAAAAAGCATGAATTTAAAAAAAAGGTCTCGATTCTACCAACAGGAGTCGAGATAATTTTTTTTAAAACGGTAGTCTGGCTGTTCTATTTAATATTTTATAATAAACTTGGGCTCGTGTAACCAGGAGAGGTGAACGCTGTGACGTCATAGTGTCTATCCTGCCTATGTTGCGCTCGGCTTCTCAAAATTCTTACTTAACAAATGGATTGTGGCACTTATTAGAGAGAAGCTACCGGGATGCTTTTTTAAATCAACTTAATTTTTTGCTTTGTTTCGAATTGTGTAAGCAGAAGTCTGTGAAAGTTATCGCCAGACCCAAAAAAATACATTTTTATTGACATTTCACGTTTTCTTTTGTAATTTCATTATGATTTCGATATTTTGAAAAGTAAGAAGGTCTTTTACGTATTTAAAAACAAAAGTCATTATTTCTTTGGAAAAAGTGATCAGTAGGTAGTACTCTAATAATTTGGTAAGTAAGGTAAGTTTGGTTAAATCGTAATATTTTGGTGTTCCCTGCTGCTCCCCATGTATCATTATTTATCGGACACCCTATAGTATAGTACCCTAGTATTGGTATAGGACCTATACCAATACTAGGGTACTATTTTAGAATGACTGAGTGGGTGATATTGTTGATCCATGCATACCTATGTAGCAGTTCCAAGGTTATAGCAGCGTAGTTTCAATCAAAACCGACAGAACACCCTGTATCTAAGGAATATGGAAGCAGCAAACATAGAAAGTAGCAAAGTATGTGCTCTATCTCCCATTGAAGTCTGTCACCTTAAACCTCTGGTATACTATATATATTGTCAATTTAAAAGTACCTGTCATTAAATTAGCGATTCTCCATAATTATCCAAAAAAATGTATAATAATAATGACTATATTTTGTATAGTATTTTTCAAAGAAACATTACCAAAGTAATGAAAATTCAGTCACAAAAATGTGACTGAATTACCAGTTACCACCAAAGTGAGTTGCGCCCAAAGTTTCCGTCTCTAATGCCCGCACCTATGGTTGATATTCAAGTCATGCTCAAGTCACTGCTTTATTAAGCTGTGCTCAAGTCTCAATCTCAAATTCAAATAATACAGGTGAAAATAATGAAGACTTCGGCAATACTAGACGGAGTTCGGTTGTTTCGGTCTCCCTTTAGTAACTTTGATTTTGTTGTAGTACCTTAACTGGTAAATATGGGAATATTCTGTTTCTTAAGTTGGTCAGTGACATTTGCCATCACTTTGAAATTTTGTTCGAAGTAAGTAACCGGTATTGGTATTAAGTACATAGGTTTTTTATTTAGAATTATATTCAAAGGTAAGTTAACTAAAATTTGATTTAATTATAGAACGGATGAAATACTGGCAGACAGCATTCGCGTAATACAATTATTAGCTTCATTAGCTGATAAGCATAATATTGAAAATAAAAGTACTGATGTTGCCACAATTCAAAGGTAAAAACTGTAAAAAGCAAATTGGACAAGTAGGCAAAGAATTGTGTTTATTATAGTATTTTTTGAAAATCTGTATCTGTTTAGAAACTCACTATCACTATAAAATTCAATTGGATTTTCAGCATCACAAATATACCTTGCCGGCATTCTTTCAACATTTTCGTCCCCGCGAAAGCAGTAAACTCAAAAAATTTCAAATTGCTCTCAAGGTCCATAATTTACTCTTAAACTGCGTTTATATTTTAAAAAACATCATCAAACTTAACCAAGCAGCACGCCTCAAGCTCAGCCCGACTTGAGTATGCAGTATTGCAAGATCACATGAAGTTGTTCTCACTAATGAAGTACGGACTATAATATGCAATTGTGTGCTTGTCGTATTTAAATCTGAGTTCGACGGAAGTACTGACTATAAGTACGGGCATAATTAATGTCTATAATTGTACTTACATTATTTAGACACTAAATAACTATCGAGACTTTCGTTGCATGATGAAATAATACTCAAAATCTCAATACTTTGCTTTTATTGAACCTTACTTATTGTTAATAATAAATACATTGTTTTAAAAAATCAAGATTAATGACTACACATTCCAATTTTGAAATATACAAGGTCAAAATGCCTACTGGAAATATACGTGCACGTCTCGGAGATACCCCAAATGTGTACCATGTTTCCTTCAACTAAATATCGCATACATTTCTGGTATCTCCAAGATCACAGCGCACCTCTGTGTATTTAGAATATTTTTGGCAAGACACTATATTGAAACCTTAAAATAAGCATTTTAACTTCCATGTTGAGAGAGCATCTAAATACTGAGGAACAAGACACTAGATTATCACTATAGTAAATTTATTGTTGATAATTTTAAGTATTTTCTCAGTGCATATGAAGGACATGAATGACAAACAGGTATTGAAACAGGACCTTGCGAAAACATACAAATGATAATAATAACTAAAACATCTATTTCGCTTCTTTGCAATTTTAATCACAGTTACGCTTATAATTCAGAGAAGTTCTGCACGCTCCGCCCAGTCTTCATTCCGTGACGAATGAAGCATTACGCGGAACATGCAAACAATTCAACAGACAACGAATTTTTTAAAATAACGATATCGGGTAAATGGTGCATGATTGTATATTCATGTGTTTGGGTGTAATCTTTATATCAACTGAACTCGCTAGTCTACTTTCTACTACGTAGTAAACCTAACACAGCCCTACGTGAAGAAATATGTACATTTCGCAAAATAGATGGTCTAAAACAAGAATACAATTGCAATAAAAACTTTATAATAAAACCAAAAACTCTAAGACAGTTGCAGCTTCAAAATGCATAATACAAAATAAAGAATAAAAATTATTTCAACATCTTTCTTTACTATACGTTGCCCAATGTCACAATAAAAATGGAATGTTTAAAGGTGTTGATATACGTATAAAGTAAATATACATCTGACCTTATATCTTTTTGATCTGTAACACTGAAACATTTTAACAAAACAATTCTTTTGACATAACTAAATTTAATTACATTTAGTTTTTTATTTTTGTGGAACTGTTAACTTGAAAACTATTATAAGCTTTTCCTTTTATTTTTTCTTTTTATAAAGCTATTCAATTCTTGAGTAAATTTAAAAAAATATAAATAATTGGAATCTGTCTCCTCCTCAGATTCTCATATTTATTGAAAATATTCAAAACAAAAAATACATAGTAAATCAACAAAGAAAATAATATGACAACATTAAATAACCAAATAATTCATCTTCCGTTTTATATGCATTTTTCAACCCTTTTATTGCTTTTCTTTCTTATTCCTTGTCTAATAATTTAGTTAAACATCTGCCTAATTTTATTTTCTAAATCCTAATAAAAAACAAACAGTAGAAAGAAAAGCTCACCTAACCTTAATAGTGTTCAAATTAAAAGTTACACAAACAAAAAAATATCTAAATATTTACGTAATCACATCTTCAGACTTTTAAAGATATTTTATTCAAATATGGCATAATGGGTTTTCTAAGGATGCTAAAATATTTTTAGATAAAAAAATGCCAATAGAATTTTTGTGGCAAGTCGACCCCTTTTTTAATTTTAGAACTGGACACCTATGAATAAAATAACAAATAGTTCACTTTAAGATAACTGATATAGGCCAACCAATAGAAATTCTTTGGCACACTTAAATATTACAGCAAATTTCATGTATTATCTTTTGAAAATTACTTAGTAAATGAAAACCCAAGTGATTTCCCCAGCAAAGTCGTGAACAATTTCTTTTAAACAATAAAAACTGCAAGAAAATGAAATTTTTTTGGATTTTTTATAAGATATCGAAAAATGAGGGAATTGTCTTGCTCTCATAGAACTTTTGTAGAGAATAAAAAAACCTATAAAATGGTTTTTTGTGCGACTTAATTGGTTCATTTTTTACAGAGAAAAACCTCTAAAATAGAACTTTTTTCAAAAATGCATCTCCGTCTCCGTCAAATTTGAAGCTGGAAAAACAATATTGCGGAAAATGACAGATAATAATATGTAGTTTAATTGTGCGCAAGATGGTTTCTGTCCGATGCATAGTTTTTGCACAATTGCATTATAAACAAATTAGGGTCTTTTTTGCACAGCGTGGCGATTTATCAAAAATGGTCTGATTTAAATTCTGAAAACGGCATCTGAAAGTAGACGACAAAATCTCTAATTTGTATATCTCGGATTTTCGCTTGGGTGATGGGAAATATGCTAAGAATGCCCTCGAAAGTCACCCGAAACGATCGAAAGTACACTCGAGCCTGAGTTCTCCACTCACTACTTCCCCCCACTATCCTACCCAACTCTCTTCGATCATTTCGGGCGACTTTCAAAGGCATTTTTAGCATATCCGAGATATACAAATTGGAGATTTTGTCGTCTACTTTCAGATGCCGTTTTCAGAATTTAAATCGAACAATATTTGATAAATCGCCACGCTGTGCAAAAAATGACCCTAATTCGTTTATAATGCAATTGTGCAAAAACTATGCATCTGCATCGGACAGAAACCATCTTGCGCCCAATTAAACTACATATTATCTGTCATTTTCCGCAAGATTGTTTTTCCAGTTTCAAATTTAACGGAGTTGTGAATTTTTGAAAAAAGGTCTATTTTAGAGGTTTTTCCGGATTTTCTCTGTAACAAATGAACCAATCGGGTCCCCCAAAAAAACATTCTATAGGTTTTTTTATTCTCTATAAAAGTCCTATTGAGAGTAAGATGATTCCATCATTTTTCGAGATATTATAAAAAAAAAACAAAAAAATGTAATTTTTTTGCAGTTTTTATTGTTTAAAAAAAAATTGTTCACGCCTTTGCTGGGGAATCACTTGGGTTTTCATTTACTAAATATTTTTCAAAATGTAATACATGAAACTTGCTGTAATATTTAAGTGTAAAAACAGCCTCTTTATTCGCTCTATTGGTTGACCTAATATATGAGTGGCTTTATGAAAAATGAAACGCAGTGAATACAGGGTGTCTCCATTTATAAGCGTATAAACGCAATAAGTTCAATTTTTTTTTTTTAACTAAGATTACTTATATTTAGAAACTCTAACTTACTCAGAATTGTAAATCTTGAGCCTATATGATTTTTTTAGTTGAAAAATTGTGTTAGCACTTTTTTTGTCCGTAATATGATTGTTATTTTTTTCTGATTTATAGCTACAAAAAGTTCAGTTTGCACTCTTACACAAACATATTAACTTAATTTATTTGTTGTTACTTATGCTAATGGCCTATACACCCATAAATTGGAACACACTGTATATAACAAATATTCAAAGTAGAAAAATTGTGACTTGTTCTAAATAGAACCACAAAGTGTATATTTTTTTAATTAAGCTGCCATAAATAAATATATTGAAATAACTACAAAATTTCATGAAATTTGCAAAGATTAGTTTACCAATTCACAAGTGTGTAATTCATTTAATTTCCCATAAATTGCTTTTTAATATTCCTTAAAACAAATTTTCTATTCAAAACGTGTTATTCAGTACGATTTAAGTTTTTGTAAAGGAATTTGCTGCATATTCTCTTTTGTCTGCCAACATATCAAATATATTCTGCATGCACTGCCAAAATTTACAAAAGCAATACAAAAATCAATATGATTAAATGGGCACAAATGCGGCCTGCTTAATAATAATAATATGCCGCCTCCTCTCCCGCACAAGTCTTCGACTTCTGGGCTAATTCTCGTGGTTAGAATGAGGAGTAGAGATATTATATTATATATTAAATATCAAGATATATTTGAATACCGGTAGCAGTAACATTTATATTCTATTTATTTTGGCAAACCAACGATCCATACATATCAGACAGTAAACGCGGATAGTTAAAATTGTCTTAGAAAAATAATATGCATGAAGAAAAATTACTTCAAAAATAATAGAAACGATAGTAAAATTATATGAAAAATTGGACAACGCGTTGCGGAATCTACTCTATTATAATTACTAGGAGAAAAGAATTGATCTAACAGAATTATATGCGTGTGATATTTAGAATGAACAACATACCCACAAACGCTGCTGGGTTATGTATATCTTTGCGAACAGAAGATTTTCGACCAGGAAATGTCTAAATATATACAGATCTAATTTTCGAAACCTGAGATTCAATAAAAATCTAATTGTGTTTAGAATTAAGCAAGCAGCTCAATATGTCCTTCTCTTTAATGATTTCCTTATTCTACACATTTAAACCCAACAATTACGGAACTCCTTAGAACTGACTAATAAGTAAATAACTCGTGACAAGGAGGGTGCAACCTTAATTGCTTACAAATACTGTTTATTACGTTTTACTAGAAATATCAGCTCTTTCATTACTGAAACAGTATGGATAAGCGTACTGTTAGTATACAGAATCTTTGAACTGTTTCAAACTTTAGAACAAACTAATTCTCAAAATACCTACCAACCTATATAATAATATATAGAAAAGTTTCAGAAACTGTCTACTCTAAAAAAGTACTACAAAATACTACTTTTATTTAAGTTCACTTGTGGAAGTTTATTTGGGGCGATACATTCTTACTCATTGTATTTAAATACGACTAGAATTGTCTACTTCCGGATCTTCATCATTTACTTTAATGGGATCGAAGTAGCTGTTCAGTTTTGGTTCTTTCGGAGAGTCTTCCTCGATGGGCGCTTCGGATGATGCTTGACGCTGTACGAAACGCTTGTAACGCTTTGCTAATGGTAAGACGATCAACATCAAACCTGATATCGCTATGAATAGACCTGCTAAGTAGAACGGGAGATCGTAGGTGCCAGTAATATCGTATAGCCAACCTGAAACAAGACAGATTAGTGGTACTTTGGAATTTTCCACGACTATTATCCTTGGCTATATATCCAATATAGTTAGACAAACTTAGGAATGAAAATACTAAATGGTGGCTCTCACACAAAATCTCTGTCATCCTTGATCGTAATATAAATATCGATGACAGAGAGCCATATGGGAGAGCCATCATCTAGTATTTTCATTCCTAAGATTAACTGGTTGTGTATAACTATATTATTATACAGGGGTAATCTGAAATTAGTATTTTTTCTTTATTCAATCACTTATTCTTCTAAATTTTTTATTTTAATTGTTTTATTTCTGAGGTGTGTTTATTAATTAATAAATGTGAATAAACATACTATAATAAATCAATACCGTAAGCAATAAATTATTGGACATGGAGATAACTTATGGAAATGCTGGTGAATTTCCAAATAAGCATGCACCAACACTTGCAAACAAAGGCAGAGCTATCAATGGAGTATATGGTTCCAAAAAAGTTTTCATCGTATCAATGTTGTAGGTCAGTAGGTATTCCGTTTGCAAAAAATATTTATACCAATTGAGTTTTCGCACTGATTAATTTACTATTCAAATATTCTCTCCAAATTTGTTAACATATTGTATAAAAAAAGTCGCAATACAATCAATACATATTTCATAAATTTCCTAAATCAAAATTTTGGCAAGAGTGAAAAGAATAAAAGATACATTTGAACTCTACAGCTTCCTTTTTTTCTGTTCGTGTTTAAATATTTCTTTTTAAACTCTCACTTTGTTTGGAAAACAAGGCCCTTAAATAAAAAACTACATAAGGAAAAGCCCAGAGAATAGATGGTAAACGGCTTGACCATTTTTTTGTAATATTTTGTATATAAACAAGGTTATTATCCCAATATGTATGTATTCATAACAAAATTATTAATCATGGATGCAACAGTAATACTAGAATAATAGTAATTAATAATAAAATAATTATTACAATTTTTAAAGCAATTAGGATCTCTATAAATCAATTCAGAATACATTATGATAAACCATGACCGCAACCTTCTTATCTATGAAGTAAACTTTAACCGTGTGAAAGAAATTACTCATTGCTCCTAATTTCAATAGATTTTTAAACAAAAATAGGATGTTTCAAAGTTGTTTATCTCAATAAATCAAATATTTCGTAACATAAAAACATATATTTCTTTTAGCACTGCACTTTGTAGTCTATAACCGACAACAAAGAGTGATAAAAAATTAATTTCTTTAATGCCACATATTATAAATGTTTAACATTAGGAATGTAAAAATTTAAGTGATCCAGAATGCTTTGTGACGTCATTTAGTGCGACCGAGAACACAACCAACAAGATAGAATCTAACCTAAACAAACGCGGATATGGTGAACCTCGAAGCAATATAAATTTGGCTCTCTCTAGACTCTTATTACCTACTATGCTCCTGCTGATGGGCCATCCTGTCCCTACGATTCTTCTTCTCCATTCCCGATAGCACTAAATGACGTCACGAATTAGCGCCGCAGCAAGCACCCGTTAAAACATTTAATTTGCGGTCAAACTTTTATAATCAATTATTACTTAACCACCTCTTAAGATATTTCTAATATTTTCACTACATGATTACATAAGGTTATAGGTTATTTCTAGACACTAAAAAAATATGTGCCATTGAAGAAATATTTTCTAAAAAATCGCGATTTAAAACAATCAACACAAATTTATTTACCTCCAAGAGGCGGTCCGATGAGGTTGGCGAGACCCTGTACAAGTAGAAGAAGTCCATAGGCATTCGTGAATCTGTCCAAGGTGATCAACTCCACCAGGATGATGCAGGTGAGAGAGTAATTGGCCGCGATGAAGAAGCCAAAAGCTCCAGATACTGCGCTGAGTAGCTTGTAGTCCGTGATGAGGGGGACAAGAGCTATGATGCCTCCGCATAGACCCATGCAGGCTGCGTAGATGACACTGGCGTTGGCCCAGGCCCTGTCACCAGCCCAGCCCAGTATAATCTAAGAAGCATAGTAAAATGTGTAAATGTAAAGTAAATGTATAAAACACTTTTTGCAGTACCTACTGACAATTTATTTTCTCTTGAAAAGGATGTAAACAGATAAATAACTGTAAAAGTGTCGGAAGAAAAAATGTTGTTTTGTTTGTAGTTGATTAATTTGATTATTTTCTTTCTCTTTGAATTTGAAAATTAGAGGAATTTCATTTTCATCATAAGGGGCAGCAGTGGCGGCTATGAAAACCATTAGATATAAAGGACAAAATTTATAATTATTATAAAATCAATGATGAAAACCCATTAAGTATACAGGACAAGAAGGTCCGCTGATTATTGACATTGTCCACGATTTTTTATTACTCTTATTGTAGCAGTTTTAGCAACAAATTGTCTCTTTTTGAGGCATCCTTTCTTACAATTAGATCTGACTGTGTCAACTGCACTGCCCCCTGACCGCGTACGACATAACCAAAACCTGTGGGCAATGTCAATAGTTAGAAGTTGAACAACCCCTCTTATGATGAAAATCAAAGTGCCTAGATAGGTACACTAAGCACCTCATTTGATGTATTTTTGTATTTTAGATAACTTAGTGGCAATGAATAGTGATTACCAGTGATAATTAATTGGAAATCTAGTATTACCCCTGCAGCCAAGATTAGCCCAATTTTATAGGTAAGTGAATCTAATTGCTGAATTAAAATTTTCCCATTACTGTTCAATTATGCTACAATTTGCTTCAAGTAATCATATCAAAATTTATAAATTAGTGATGTTTTGCCGCTGATTTTTTTTACTTAAATACAATAATATTCCTTGAAAAAGTAAGGAAATATTGATTTACATTTGGAAACAGATTTATGCATAAGCAGGTACTGCAATATTTCTTTTTTTAATAAGTTTTTGGCGGCTAAACTAAATATTTGAATATTTTACAAATTTTTTCCTAGAAACAGTTCATTCATGTTTCTATTAAATGAAATATCTAAGGCATATTCATTATTTAAAAAAAATGTAAAAGGTATTGAATATATTTTATATATTTTGGGAAATGTGTTTTTTTGAAAATGGCTGAAGATAAATAAATTCCGAAAAGGTTATTTCAGTTACGCAAACGTAGGAAGAAAATAGTTTTATAATCACACCGCCTATTGGCGCTCTGGTGATTATTTTTTTCTAAGAAACCTTAAGATTTTTTATATTTAATGCTAATTTATACTTTCAACCGTTTTTTAAATACACTAGGCACAGAAATTAAGGGATATTAAATTACACTCTCTTGATCATTGTTTACAGGATTGCAATATGCATGTTGACTTATTTACACTTGATACAATTTGTTAACAGTATGGTGAAAAAACAAACGGCCAACTAGATGGTTGAACAAGTCATCGCTTTTTTTATTATATTTCAACATACAAACTACATTTTTCTATTTATTTAGGAAGTATGAGGAACTATCAAAGTGTCAAAATTGGCATATCCTGTTATCTATTTCCGGTTAGGTTCGAAAGTATATTATTTATTTTTTATTATTAAAAAATAAGTTTTTCACTTTCTATAAAAAAATAAAATATACTGGCTATGTTCCTTTATTTTTAATTTTCCATAGAACTTGAAAGTAGCCCCTTTATTGCCATTCAATTTTGTATAAAATGAAATAATATTTCCAGTGTTACTGCTCAGGCAAATAAATAAATGTGCATTATTTCGAATATATAAAGTTTTAATTATATAATTATAAAGGTGTATGCATACATGTATATTAATGATTACATCCATAACATCTCTAACACACAACGCTTATGCATGCCAATTAATTGAAAAATTGTTAGTTGTAAATTTCTATAAATAAATTTCTGTGGTTAAGTTGTCCGATTATTTACTGTAGATAAAACAAAAATTATCTATGTGCAAAACAACTACAACAAATAATGTTAATTATTTTGTAAAAAATATATGCACACAACATCTATTGCCTGTTTTCTTTGTATATTATATCTTATATGAAATATAAATATGAAATTTTAAATTGAAAAATTATATCCATCCCTAATTGTATTCTAAAATTACGATATGAAAAAAAAAAAAAAATGGACCGTTTTCACTAGCCTCAACTTCACTTTCCATTACAAATTATTTACTTAACATCCCAAGAGGAGCATTAAATGATATTTATTTTTAAACATAATTTTTCTTAAATTTAAAGTAAAGAGCATTAAAGTTTTATTATATTTCAATTTCTTTCCCACTGTCAAACTTACATTAACTCATAGACTTTATCATTAACTTATAGGAATTGATATTCCATGGTTTTCCATGATATGATATTCATCCCACCATACAAAATAGTTACTTGCAATTAATTAATTTGACGAATTTGACGATACTGCTTTGTCTTTTTTTGTTGACTGTATGTTAACTTGCTTTTTTGTGGTTTATCACAATAAATTATCTTAGAGAAAAAAAATGCATGGACTAAAGACGTAGCCAAATTTTCTTGTTATTTCAAATCTATACTTAGAAAAACAGTTGAATGTTACATTCCGAAAATACAAGTCAAACCTATATATATATTTTTTGACAATATACCTTGTATATTTTTACACATTTAAATAGAGCACTTCCTTAAATTATAGTTATATAGGGTTTGACAGATCTACCTCTAATAATAAGGAAGATATGGCTAAAAAAGTATAATAAACTATTTTGGTCATATATCTCTTTAGTGATAAGAACTTCATTTATTTTCCAAGAATGTTTGTGAATTTTTCTTAGCTATAAGGACGAGAATTTTTCCAAAAATTGGAAAATATTTCTTAGCTATAAGGACGCGAATTTTTTCCAAAATTACTGAGCTTTTTCCAAAATACTGGGGAACTTTCCGCAATAATTTTCTCCAAAAATAAATTCTCGAGAACTTTGCATCACTATATTTCTTATTATCAGAGATCTTACATCACCATAATGTTAATGAAGCACTCTGTCCAAATATGGAAAAATATTCAAGGTGTTCTGTCAAAAAATATAAGTTTGCCTTGTATTTCCGCAATACAAAATTCCGTTGTTTTTCTAAATACAGTTTTGAGATAATAAGACAATTTTCTACAAATTTGGCTTAATACTATTTTTTATACATTACATATTGCTGAATTAGGACAAAACTGAAGTTTGTGAAAAAGGTTCAGTAAAATTTGGTTTTTAAATATGAATACTTATTAATTAACTGAAAATAATATTATCCAATTGTATCGTTTCTTTTTTTGTAGTCAATTGAAAAAAATTATGTAATTCTCAATAAGAATATCATAAACATTTAAAATTATGTAAACTACATTTTATATGTTATTTTTGCAATGTCGCGAGAAAATATAACTCAATATTATTAACTTCGTCAATTTTTGTACCTACCTCTCCAATCATGTTGATGATTCCTATAATCGAGATGAGGATTGAAGCGGCGTCTTTTGTTACCCCGTTGTTGATGGCGTAGTCGGTTAGGTAGACGTAAGGTACGTCGTACCAGGTGTAGAGCAGGAAATTTGACACGGCAAACACGAAAAATTTCGGATCGGCAAAGTGCGAGAAGTCGAACATGTCCACCAGAAGGTCCCAGAAGTCCCAGAGGCCCGCGTACCACTGCACCTTCTCCTTAGCGATGGTCGTCATAGAGTTCCTGTAGATGTCGGGACACGAACTGGCCCTCAGCCTGTACCTGTTTATGTTGAGCATGGCTCCTCTGTACGTCACAGACAACCGGTGGATCCTTAAGTCTCTTAGATAAGCCGGGGGAACCTTTTTATGGTGGTGGCCTCTTGACGTTTCCAGTTGGTTGTTGTTCAGCCACAGGTAGCCCTCTTGCGGATTCTGTGGAGTCACATTGTTAGGCGACGATAACTGAAGCTGAGTATGTGCGTGCTTCGAGGACATGTGGCTTTCGTGAAGCTTACTGGGATCGCTGAAGCTCCTAGATGGTGCTAATAAGCTCGGGTAGTTCACCAAGAGCATGTTGTAGACGTTCTTGTGAGTGGCGAGGAGTTCTAAGACTTCCAACGGAATCTTTTCCCCGTTCTTCAGATACGTTGGAAGGTTAACTAAAGAGCTACATAATCTATCCGATAGTTCTTCGGTTTCGTCTTCTTTATGCGACTCCATGATAGGTTGGAGCACGCTAGCGGTATTGGTGCTGTTGCTAACTGAAAATGAGTCGGCAGACGAACCTTTATTTTTACGCTTCATATTCCTGGTGCGCTTTCTTTCTTTAGCTAAGGATTTCTGTTTCTCCGATGTCCAGGGCAGGTCCCTCATCAGAGCACCACATACGACGAGGTTCAGAAACAGACCAGCTAGAATCAATGTGGTACCTCTCCATCCGTACTCATCCAGGAGAAGTTGGATTAAAGGAGCGAATATGAATGTGCCAATTCCGCTTCCACAGACAGCCAACCCGGTAGCGAAGGATCGTTTCTTGTCGAAGTAATACGCTACGATGACTACGGAGGCGACGTAACATAAGCTGAGTCCAAAGCCGGCCACTATCCCGAAGGTTATGCACAGCACCGTCATGGAATTTGCCCTGGAACTGATGATGAAACCCACCGAAGCTAGGATGGCACCAAATATCGTCACCTTCCTACAACCGTACCTATCCGTGAGGAAGCTAGCTATCGGACCGGACAATAACGGCATGGCCATGAAGAGCCCGCCTATCCATGCCGTCGTGCCGCGGTTTTCACCGAAATACTTGAGAAATTCAACGAAAATTACACCAAAACTAAAAGTAATACCGTCGGCGATTAAATTGACTACGAACGAAGCTAAAACTACCACCCAACCCCAACCCCCGTCGGGCGGGCGGGCTTCCGATATCTCCAGCGATTCGCTACTGGACGACGAAGAGCTACTAGACGATGAAATACTTGAGGGTGAAGGACAAGGCTCCTTAGCGATTGAAGAGTCGCTCTTGTTGTCGCTGTCGAATTGAACGTGTAGCACGGGCTTATCCTCGTCATCCTTATTGCTGTTGATGAGGTTCTTCTTCAAGAGCGTCTCGGATTCGGAATCTACGGAGTTTTCGTACAGGGAGTTGATCCTAAGCTTCTTCTTCGCGTTCTTCTCGTTCAGCAACAGTTCCAAGTTGTTCCTAGCGGGTGACTTCTTGGGGCTGGTGATTTTACTGGTGGATTTGTCATCGCGGGAGACGAACGGCGACTCCTCGCGCCTCTTGGCGAGGTCGCCGTTCTGAAGCAAAACGGCACCCGCGTCGCGATAACTAGCACTATTTTTCGGCGTCTGGTTCACTCTATCAAAGTTTTTGGGTGTTGCCGGAGACTGACGGTCAGTGTCCACGTTCGATTCGGCCATTCTCTCAAATCTCTACGGAACTGCCTGCGTAACGACGCAAGACGGATGTTGGTGATGGTGCGTTTCATACGTGTAGTAGGCGGCCACTGCCGATCCTCAATTGTTGCAGGGTGTTTTGCCATGCGGGGCACACTTCAACCACGGGGGTTGGAGATTTTTCTGGAACAGAAGGGTGTCGCATTAGTCGATTCAACAAAAGTGAAAGCACCAAATTTGCTACACGTTATTGGCTTTTTAAATAATGATATTGTGGGAAACAAGCTACACTACCAATACTTAGTAAAGCTAAGCCTATTGAGATTTAACCCTCGAAGGACACACTTGGGGTGGACCACCTTAAAAGTCACTAGTGCGAATTGGGATTTTGCCAAGTTTGAACCTTTACGTCTTCTTTATTTGTTAACGAAAACAACGTAGTATATCAAAACTGGGTAAAATTTTCCGCGAAATCGAATGATGTAATTAAATTTGAAAAAAAAAACAAAAATAATTTGTTAATAAAAAATGCGATTAAAAAAACATTTTTCAAAAATTGACTAAATTCGTATTTTTTTATAAATAATAATAATAATAAATAATAAATAAATTAAAAGTAAAAAAAGGGATTTTGAAGTTCAGTCTATATTTTTTAGAAAACAATCCCCCATATTGATAAAATGTATTATCGATTTTAACCGATATCTCGAATATGGACATTTTTTGAAGTTGTGATTTTGTCTCCTTTTCTGTAAATTGATGTTTATTTTGCACTCTTTTGTATAACAATATTAATTTAACAATTTTATCCATAAATATTGACAAATTACAATAATTAATCTGTTAATGGCAAAAATGTTTGAAAAATTATTATCAACATCAACTGGTGAAAAAAATCGGAAATTTGTATTTCAATTCACTTTATTTTATATGATAAGTTTAGTCACACTTTTGCCCACACTAAAGTCACACTAGTGACGGTTTGGGCTGTTAATTGTTAAAAAAACGGTGGTGCGAATTCGCACTAGTGTGACCCTTGAGGGTTAACATGCTTTGTAGGTTTTATCTTACAAATGCGTTTTTGGCTATTGACTACTCCTATTTATACTGTCACAAAAAATGTGTAGCATGGAACCCGCTGTTTCATGGCTGTCCTGATTGAAAAAATGTCGAAATATATTGCAATCAATTTAAGTTTTGACTACATAGCATGGACGAGTAACTATATTAAAAAAATTACTGAAATAAATTTAGTAAAGGGCGGTTTTCGAGTAGAATTGTAAAATACATCACGTAACAATATCTTACTATTATTATATTATTATGAGGCAATAAAAAAATTGTAAAATATCAAAAGTATATTGTCAATAAGTCATCTTGAAGCTGCTATATCTTCGTTAAGGAGTCGGAACAGACATTTAGTTCAATTTAATTTTGACCCAGGAACACCCTGTAAATTTGGTAATCGAATTAATGGACATCCTGTGTAGTTCTGGTAGTTTTCATTTACAGATAAACTAAACATGTAGCGCTAGTGGAGTCATATAGTCGCGAGAATATGTACAGATTTATTTTGCTGTGTTTTTTAGTGAACTTTTTTCACTTGAATGGCATAAAATTTATACAGGATGTCCAGAAAAGAAGGGGCAATCTCTCGGCTTCGAATACAATTTGCAAAAATAAGATAATATGAATTTTTTATTCGGGCCTATTCATGTCTTGATGTTGGCAGTTGAAAATCGCTGATTTTTTTTAAATTTTGCATAATTTTTGGGTAAAAAGATATATTATCTGAAACTATTTATACTAACGTATTTAATTTACCGACACCTACTTTGCAGGTCTGGGGGAAGAGCACTCTCGGCAGTCTCGGTCTCAAAAAATACATATATAAGTCTACTGTCGTGCTTTTTTTTTTTTGTACGACGATTAATATTAATATCGATGCAACAAACCGTTTTCGAAATAAACATGTTTAACTGTACGATACCATACTATATTCGACGTATCTTAATCGTAACGAATATATAGAACCAAAATTAGTCATTTCTGCAACATAATAAGTACTAGGTATTATGCCATTAGAGATTATGCATTTATTTTGCTGCATAAAGAACCAATTGTTGTTGGTTGTGGTATTTTTATAGTTAAATGCATTTAACCCAGATGGTTGATAAACTCGGGCCCCCAAGATAGGTAAATTCGGTGAATTCAGTATATTAATAGAAATAACTTCAAATAACAGCGTCTATCCTAAAATTATCCATATTTAATGAGGTGCAGAGTTACAAAGAAAAATCTATTTTTAACTGTCAATTTCAAGTACTAATAACTCTATAGAGTGTACTCTTACAACGTTATTTTTTGCAACCATTTCCTGAGAATTTTTTAACATACGAACGATTAGAAAATTTATTTCAATTTGTTTGTTATGATACATTAACATACTAGACTGTTAGACATATACATACTGGATTTAGCTTTTCATAAAAATTGTATAAGGACTTGTGAAAAATAAAAATAAAATGATAATTAAAAAAGTATACAGTTCCTCCAAATATCATTTTTAAGTCGATTAAACTGGATGTTCACATTTCCCGAATCTTTATTGTAATTAATTACTTTTTTTATCGGTGAAGTCACATAATTTTAACACTGATCAATGAATAATAATAATAATTATAAATAAATTTACAAGTAAAATCAGCTTTTATTATAGTAATAGTATTACAATAATTAAAAATAAAAATTCAGAAGAAAAGTTAATGATCAATTTGAAGCAGGTAGTTAAAAATGTGTATGTATTTGATCTCATATGTTATATGTATATCGTTTTTGCTTCCGAAAATAGTTCGTAACAGTTAGAATATACAGGGTGGTCCGAATTTTATGCAGGAAACTTCGAGGGCAGATAGATCTCTTTAAAATAATAGGTGTTTGCCTTATAAACATAGGTCTGGAACGGTCTCGTTTTAGAGATACAGGGTGTTGAAGTTGTTAAAAAAAATTAATTTTTTGTTTATATCTCAGGAATCTATTAATTGATCTCAATAAAATTTGGTACAGATAATGTACGATAGTAGGCGTTGCATTCCCTAAAATATGAGCTCTAAAAGATAGCCCAGTGGTGTACAACTGGACAGGGTCATCCCCTTTTTATAAAAAAAATCTACGCCACTGTATTATTTACAAGCTATTGCTACGGATTTATATTTTAATGTACAAAATAAGTAAAAAAGGTAACTTGAATTTTTTCCCTAAAGTTCACCGTTCTCAAATTATTCATACCAATACAATCCCCTAGTAGCAGATACTTCTAACCATAATATTTCAAGAATATTTATGTTTATGCTTAAAAGTAAGTGAAATTTGTAAGCACATCAACAAAATTCTTTACACACGTCGCTTTCACCTTTTTGGATTAAAACGATATTTGGAAAATCACGACGGCGCAATGAAAGGCACAGAAATTAAATTTTCAAGAACATTTGACGACGACCCTCGGCTAAGTACACAAAAACGTCTCGGCAACTTGGGGTGAACAAATCGAAAATTTGAAAAGTTCTACATAAGGATTGTAGAAATCCGTACCATTTACAACCTGTGCAAAATTTACTTCCGGGAGATGTAGACACTTGAATTTTTGTTAGTGGTTGTTTTAAAGTCACAACATAATCCAGAATTTCTACTAGAAATTCTTTGGACCGATGAGGCTACATTCACAAGGCGAAGGGTAGTACATTTTCACAATAATTGGTCACAAGAAAATCCTCATGAAATTCGGACAAGATCTTGTCAACACGAATTTTCTGTGAAAGTGTGGCTCGGAATAAATCGGACCTTTCTTCTTGTCACCCCATCTAAATTCCCAGTCATTTCTAAACTTTCTAGAAAACCATCTATTTGAATTATTAGAGGATGTTCCATTAAATATACCATAAAATAGCTGGATACAAATGGATGGTGCTCCTGCGCATTTTAGGAGAATAATAGAAGAATGGCTTAAAAATTATATGGGGCGATGGGTCGGTTGAAGACCAAATGCCAATGTCAACCATAATGGTGCAGAGAATTCAATCTCTTGGCCAGCCAAATCGCCAGATCTAAACCCCCTGGACTTCTACGTTTGGGGTTACCTATCTGAAAAGTAAAGTTTACTCTACTCCACCACAACTACTGCAGCGAATAGAAGAGGGGTGTAATGAATTAAAAGAAAACCACCACATGATATTAGTTAGGTAATTCCATTAATCATTAATAGAAATTGTCAGAAATGTATCGATGTGGATGGTTCGCATTTTGAACAATTGCTGCAAATACGTAACGTTAATTTCATTTCTTGTTTAATTGTCGTTGCTTGGTAAATGTATTTTTATTATTATTTTCATTTAAATTGTCCTTATTTGTAAAGATAGTGGATTAAGCCTCCAGGAGAAACTAAAATACACTAGGAACACTACCTCACAGGTGATGTGGAAATAATTTTGTTGATCTGCTTACAAATTGCACTTCCTTTTAAGTATAAACATAAATATTCTTGTAATATTATGGTTTGAAGTGTCTGCCACAAGGGGTTTGTATTTGTATGAATAACTTGAGAACGGTGAATCTTAGGGAAAAATTTCAAGTTACCTTTTTTACGTATTTAGTGCATTAGAATATAAATCCGTTACAATAACTTGCAAAAAATACAGTGGCGTAGTTTTTTTTATAAAAAGAGGGCGGCCCCTGTCCAGTTGTACACCACTGGTTGAACCTTTAGAGCTCATATTTTAGGAAATGTAAGGCTTACTGTCATACATTATCTATACCAAATTTTATTAAGATCGGTTAATAGATTCCGGAGATATAAACAAAAAATCAAATTTTTTTAACAACTTCAACACCCTGTATCTCTAAAACGAGGCCGTTCCAGACCTATGTTTATAAGGCAAACACCTATTATTTTAAAGAGATCTATCTGCCCTCGAAGTTTCCTGCATAAAATTCGGACCACCCTGTATAATTACGATATCACACTAAGAGGAGTCATTAAAATGCAAACTAAATTAATTCTAAAATGCAATAATTTGAAGGAAAAATGTTTGGAATTTGATCACTTATTCATAAATTAAAAATTAAATTTTATCAATAATACAAAAGAATATTTAATTAAAGTTTAAAAAATAAGAGAAGGCTTCACT